GGTGAAGGCTTCTGGGAGTTGGAGTCCAAGAACATCTGGAGGCCCAAGGTTGGGGACCACTGCTTTGAAGGATTCAGCCCTTAGCTCTTCAGCTACTTTCCAACACCAATAAAGCTTTTGGGAAACAGGTGGGGAATTCCAACTCATCATTTGCAAACCACTGTGCTAAGAAACAAATTATGCTAAGGACTGTAGTTGATTCAGGGTTTTTCTATTATTATTCTAACATACCAGACACAATCAATCAAAATTATTAAAAAATTGACTGGTATTATATAACAGATACATGTTTTAACCAAATACCTGAGTATCTGCTAAATATTGGTATAGTATGTATGCTGTTTTTTGTAGCTCTGATGGTGTCATTTCGGAGATCTGCAACTATTTATACCACTGTGTGAAACCTCTTGATATTGTTCCCAAAGCAGTTTTAACTAAAAACCTATGTGTCTATTAAATATCGGGGCAGTATATATGGTGGGGGTTTTTGTAGCTCTGATGGTGTCATTTCTGAGATCTGCAACATTGTTGATGTTGTTGTTGTTGTTGTTGAAAAAGACCTTCCTGAAAAGGCATAACCTTACTCACAAGCAGAACTTCATGGCTTTAGAAAATGTTCAGCAGCTGGCCATCTGTTCCTAGCTGTTACTTCCTAGATGAGCAATGGATGAACAGGGTGTGTATGTACACAACTAGCTCATTACAACTGATGTATTATAAATCCCAATTTCTTCTTACAGCTTAGTCAACTTTCTCTCGGATTTTACAGATTCAGTTTTTATTTCTAGTGTGGGATCTTTTAGATTTGTCTGTGCCGAAATCTTTTTTTTAAAAAAAATAAAATTCTGGTTGCAAACTTTGCATGCAACTGATCCCAGGATGGGAGAGGGGTGAAGTTGCATGATTCTCTGATTTTTGTTTGCAGGATTCTGACCTGTATGTTTCCGTTTAAATTATGCATGCCTCCCCTGAAATTCCGATACAACCCCTCTGAGAGGCACGCTCCACCAGCTCAGAACCACTATTTTATATTTCACATAATGCAATCCAATCTATTGGCTGAAATCCTCTGGCACAACATGCAGGTATGGTGGAAATAATATCACTACAGGCGCAGACCCTGTGATTCTTCCAATGGTTTCTCACTGCCCCAAAGTTGGGTGGCCTCACACATAACCCAGAACCCAACCCAGGGGCTTTTTAATTAACAGGGCTTTAAAGATTAAAAGCAACACCTTGAATTACTGAGTCAGAATCTGTTTTTTCTCGGCCCAGGACATTATGTTTCAGGCACTGCTCTCTGACAATGTATTTCCAAAGGGTTTGGCCCTATTCATCAAGAAAATCAAGACTCTCAGGTTGTCATCAGATCTGTTGGACTCAATACCCCCATCCTAGGTATTCCACATAATCAAAAATAGAGTCTTGGATATTAGAGCAGTATGGCAGTGGAACCAGTTACCTCAGGAGTTGGTGAGTGCTCCAACACTGGAGCCATTCAAGAAAAACTTGGATAATCACCTGGCGGATATGCTTTGATTGTATTCCTGCGTTGAGCAGAGGGTTGGACTTGATGTCCTTGTAGGCCCCTTCCAACTTCACTTTCCTATGATTCTATGATATTGAGGGGCAAACCCTGTATACTGCTGCACTAAAAATCTGCTCTCCACTATACTTCCAGCTTCCCCTCTCCCGTGTTAGGAGAACGGATTATCTTTATTGTTTAGATCACCCCAGGACCGCTGGGTATTCACTCTTGCTAGGTGCAATGTTGTACCTTCCAACTTGGTGCAGGGCAGATTTAGGGGATTACCCACAGAGCTGAGAGTGTGCCCTTGTGGCCAGGGAGCAGCTGAATCATTGCAACACATGCTGTTTTACTGTATGTGGTATCAGAAGATCCACCTGCAATACTTGAGCCATTTCCTTTTCTCCCATTCTGGCTGGGACGACCCAGATAAAATCCAGCACCTGTTGAGTGGCAGTAATAAGGAACTCACCCAGAAAACAGCCAGATATCTCCATTCTACCATGATGAGGCATCGCATTATGCTATCACACACCACTGAGCCCTAATGATGTAATCTGGGTATCCCCTGGCATAAGTGGCATATATGCTTTTTAACATTTTACTGTATCTCACTCTCTTGTACTGTATGCCAATAAAGGTTCTGAAACTGAAATTGAATTAGGCCCAGAGGGCCATCAGCATGTCTGCAATTGGCAGATGTGCTCCTGACAGAGGGATGAGTTGCCATCCCACTTTCTCTTTCTCTGAAAGTTGGAGAAAGAAGAACCCACAAAGGCTTAGGCATCTCTTGTCACGCTACATAAACTGTTCCAAGAAGGCAGCCAACACTTTGCTGACGGTGTGCATTCCAGGACTGGCGACATGGTCACAGGCACGCTGTCTTTCATTCACTGATCTTCTCACTGAGCAACCCTGGCAAGCTTTCGAGGAACTCCCCAAGAGGAGCAGCCTGGAACATGGACTGACCAGGCTTGCCATGCAGGAAATATTCCACTATGTGCCAAGGCATCCTAGAGGATGCACATAAAAATGGCACAAACATTTCCCAATACAAGTCTCTACAAATGTGGCAAGGACAGCAAATAACCTCAACAAACAAAGCCATTTGGCACTATTTTACAGACAGGCAATTAAATGGGCATTTGGGGAGCTTGCAGCCTATTTAAAAGGTGAACAGCCATGACTGGAAGCTTCCCAGTTGTAGAAATTCGATTTTTTAAAAATACCAAATGAAAATTTGGCTGGGGATGATAGAAACTGCCAGGGAGCCTACACTTCCTTTTCCTTTAGAAGTACACTTGAAAATGGCATGAAACGATTCCACAAGTTTGGGGGAAACGGAAAAGCTATGCTAGTTGTCATTAAACTCAGATATAACAGCAGTAGGGCCATCTCGGAGAGAGTCCTCTGTCAGGGGCCTGCCGCTCTCTTCTCTTAAACCAGACCTGGCCAAACCGCGGCCCGAGGGCCACATAACGGCCCGCGGACAGTTTTGAACATCAAAACCATTTATAGCTTTTTGTCTAAAGTTGATCAGTTGCTTATCTTTAACATACCACAAAAAATACTCTTTAGTATTTGTGAAGATTAACAAGTTTAAAATAAAAACAGTCATAACATCACTGCTTCATTTTATTTTTAAGTAAAGTTGGTTCGGCCCACAAACACAGTTCAGATTTTTCATGTGCCCCCCCCCCCCAGTGACCAGAGCCAGCCACTTGCTGCATTTCCCAAGTGAGTTCCTTGAGATGCCCAAGAGAGCATAGTACTTAACTACAGGATAGCTTTCTTTTGCAAGCATTGATGTTTCTGTTTTTTGATGCCAAGAATATGACAGGCAGGATTTACACATAACTCCCATTCACATAGGAAACTAGAATACCAGGGAAATGTGGTTGACTCTTACTTGGAAGCTCCTACAAATTCTGTTTACAGGATGGCTCATTTCATTTCATCTGGCACATCATGACCACCTTCATTTAGAGCCAACAGGCTAGTATATCATATAACTGAAACATGCAGCAATCCACTGAGCCTACAGATGTGTAAAATACTAAACACTAAGTATTTATTTCAAAAAACCAAACAATCATATGTGGTCTAGTGAGAATCGCTACATTCAAAAATTTTAGCAGATGTTAAGTGACTAACTTACTGGAGCCCTAAAACAAAGTACTGGGAAGAGTGAACATGGAAGGCCTGGGTGGCAAAATACAGTGGCTGAAGTCCAGTAATAAGTCACAATTAAAGTACAGTGGTGTCTCACAAGGCAAAATTAATCCGTTCCATGGTTAATGCCATCTAGCGAACATTTCGTCTTGCGAAGCGCGTTTTCCCATAGGAATGCATTGAAATTTAATTAATGCATTCCTATGGGGGGGAGTCAGAAACCCAAAAAAAGTCAGCAAAAAGTCACTTACCAGGTACAGTAGACTGAGCCCCGCTCCTCACAGTGCCTTTGTAGCCCCAGAACAGCCAGACAGAGCACCAAACAACTGAGAGTCAGCAACCAGCAGGGAGGCAGCAGCTATTTTGTGGTGTCTCCGCTCCTGAGGCCCCCTCTCCCCGCCTCTCAGCTGATCAGCGCTGGGTCTAAGAGGCTTCCGGAGGCTTGCCTAGCACGAAAAAAGGCAGGGGGGAAAAGCGGGAAATTCAAAAATGGTGCTTTCCCCCTGCCTTTTTACGTGCTGGGCAAGCCCCGGGAGGCTTCTGAAAGAAGTGCTTTGCCACGGGGGGGACACCCCCGAACCCCCTGCAGCCAGTGCTGCTTTCAGAGGTCCCCCGCCAGACTTCCCAGCACCACCTCAGTCTAAGCTGCATTCCCTGTAGGCGTCAATCCCTCTCTCCCCACCAAGCCATACTCCCTCTAGTTTTTTTCCTCCAAATTGTAGCACATGGCATGTGGAGAGTTAAATCACATCTTCCTCCATGAACAACTCACATTGATTCTCTGCACTAGATGAAGTCACATTCTGACTTGAATGTGGATGCAAATTTTGGCTCTGTCCGTCTTCTCACAATGGATTGCACATACCCAAAGGGGAAAAGGTTCCCCGTCCCTGCTAGAAACCTTTTGTAAAGCTGGTATAAGGGATGAGGTGGGCATCTGCAGGAACTGTATCAACACAGAGACATGTTACCCCTTCCCCTGACCACTAGTACTCCCCTCCATGAAATTACAGCTTACCATCATACAACCAGCATTGTATTTAAATTCTGCTCCCACCTAGGTCCTACAAGCCAAATCAGGGACAGAGGTTTTTTCTTCTCTCCCATCAGTCCTCACCAACAAATGTTCATTCTTTCAGCCAAAACAAGGTGAAGACCATGCCCGTATCAAAATATCTTTATTGCCTCTGGGCTTCCTAGTTCACTGGAGCATTCACCATAATGTTCAGCACATGCGGAATGTAAAATGAAACATTCATGTTGGATTCTTCTAAGCCATGACCAGTGTAAAACTGATTACCTGTTAACTTCTGAACTTAAATAGCACAGCAAATGAATGGCCCACAATAAAGGTCCTGAGTATGTGGCAAATCCAGTTAGGATGATGGCTGGGATCTCTACATAGTTGTCCAGTCCAACAAAACCAGCGGAAATATCCACAGAGGCAATGCTGTTTGAATTACCCTGGAAGAAAAAGAAAGCACAGAAAAAATAGACAAGCATGCAAAGGAGGGAGTCTCTATGATCATTTAATAATCAGAACAGACAAGTGGCAATTAGAGGATTCAGTCAGACCCAGTGCTGAAAAATCCTCCATTTATTTTGCCTTCTGAAGCTGACTCACAAGCAAAGGACTCTTTCATCTCTGGTCTCCAGCATGAAAAGGAACAAAGGCTCTGGTGTGACATTAAGGAAAGCCAGTAACAATTTTTAAAACACGACATACACTTGTGGGTAGGTGTGTATGAGAGAGGAGGCGACAACTGCTCAGTGCCATAGCACTGTAGGAAGTGTATTATTTTCTCAACCTCACCTCCTCACTGGCTACCACACAATGCTTTGTTTCCTCACATGGAAAATAAATATATTGCACAAGACATTAATATTTCTAGAGGAATCACAGAGCTGGAAGACAGCTGAAGGATCATCAGGTTCAACCTCCTGCTATAGGAGATCACAGTTTGGGTCCAATTCCTCCTGATACTGCCCCTCATGTAGCCTTCAAGAATGTTCCTGCTGTTTCTTACATCTAATTGCCAAGGTCTTCGTTGTTCAAACATGGAAGTGAGGAGCTGAGGTAAATGGGAGAAATCACTATTATGGTCAACACCGAAGGACTATGGGATTAAAACACGTCAGGCACTGGGAGAAGCCCACGTAGGACCACAAGCTCTCAAGCCCTTGGCTCAATTCGAAACAAGCCCAAATGGAAAACTGGTTGGCAACAAAGGGAGAGGACAATATTAGCTACTCCTGGTTTTAAAAAAAGACACGTACTGTAGTTTTTAAAGATTCTCTCAAAAACACATAGCTACTCTTGGTTTTAAAAAAAGACACGTAGTTTTTAAAGATTCTCTCAAAAACACAAAATGTAAGGCCTGACTTGTCATTTTTTGTAAGTTATGTATGTACAGTAGCCCTCATATTAAGTGAATTTGCTTCCTGTTCCTCAGTTGATTTTGTAATTTGGAACATTAAATACCTTGAAGTAATGTACCATTCAGTTATTACATTTTAAATATTTAAGCTGTGCCAGACAAATTCCGTTTCCAGGAATGTGACAGCTGCACAGAAACCATTGTCCAAGAAACTCAAGAACATACACAAATATCGCCTTGAACGAAGAACCAAAACTGAAAGATGGGAGTACTGTTGAGGCGGCTGTGACACAATGTCTATCTGCTACAACAGCAGGTTTTAACTGGGCAGACTAATGCTTTCTTTTGTTCGCGATAAATGTTTGAACATGCATTAGACGCAAAATAAATAGAACATTCATGAGAACTAGGTTCTATTTCAAGAGGTAGACTGAAACAGATCAAAAGCATAGCAGATTGCATTGTTCAGTAACAATATTCAACATCTGTCATATTACTCTGAGAACCAGTTCACAAACCACTCTGGTGGATATGGATACAGTACAACCAGGTGTGAGGGCAAACTTCTTCATTGTGCAGACAAGGCACACATTAATTTCTCTTATCATTATCTTGCCTTTCTCCCAATAAAAGAACTCAGAGAGACTTAAAATATTTCAAAGACAGATGCAGGGAAAAATTCAATAAATTACAGTATTTAAAATGCAATTAGATAGATAATATATGATTTGGAGAGGGCATTTACTAGCCAAAATTGGCACCAGACTGATGTCTCAGGACGGGGGCAATCTGGCAGTGATTTCCAGCTATTAAGAGCTCCCTTTGCTATCCTAAGACTCCCAAAGGCTTCCCAGGTCAAAAAGGAGCCCTAGAACCAGAAGGGGAGGGATTGGAAGCTTCCAATTAATTTAAAGTAAATCTCCTGGTCATCAGATGATGATGTCACCCTATTTGCACAGCGTAACGCTGAGAGAAGCCCAGAAAGAAAGAACAAGAAACCGGGCCTCCTCAGCAGTGGCCCCTAGGCTTTGGAACAGCTTGCCATCAGAGATCTGCCTTGCCCCCTCGCTGGGTGTTTTAAAGAGCCAATTAAAGACTTGGCTCTTTAGGCAGGCCTTCCCTCCTGTCAATACTTGACTCTTACTCTTACTTAGTCTTTTGTTCTATTTTCCATCTTGATCAATACTAACATTGTCGATTTAATTCATGGTTTTAATTGTTTTATGAATGATTTTATTGCGAGCCGCCCTGAGTAGACATAGTCTAGAAGGGCAGGATAAAAATCCAATCAATCAATCAATCAATCAATCAATCAATAAAATAAAATAAAATATAGTTTCACAAAAGGATTTCAACCATTGGAGACTTTCCAAAATCTGCAACTCAAGGTGGGCAGTCTCACCTGTCCAACAGCAAGGCCCATCTGGTTCCTTCTATACTGGGGCAAAACTGGCTCGTAAGACCATCATTGTAGTTGAGGGTCTTGTCTTATGTTCAGCCCTGACGTCCCCATAAGTGATTCCCAGAGAATTTGTGCCTTAATAGGAATCAACCTGATTTGATTCCAAATGGTTTTTAATATTTTATTGTACTATATTATAATGGACTATATTTATTGTTTATATAGTTTGCTATTGTTTTATCTGATGTATGTTGCAATGGCCTGTGTGCCATGCAATCAACTTCTTTTGTTTGCTTGCTTGATTCACAGAGACCAGGAACACACACACACAAAAGGAAAAAGAGCTTCCATGTTTTGAAATAAAGGCACAACACACACATATGCCAACCTTGCTCAGTTCCTAGCAGTTCAAGATAAAAGCAATACAAGAAAATGAGACAGAATTTAATTTAATAGTATTCCAAAAATAGTATTCCCAAGGCTTTTCCAAGTTTCAAATTAAGACGATACGACTAAATCACATGAGTGATCTTTCTAAAACAGATTGCAGCTAATCCCTCAAGCTTCTTTTAATGCAAACATAGGGGAAGAAAGCTTAATTACTTCCAAGGGGATGGGCTGCGGTGTGTGCACTTCCATTAATAGTGGAGAACCACCAGAAGAACTTATACCTTGCAGCATGTTGTGGAAACTTGGGCAGGCTTTAAACCACAAGTAGTTGATATATACACAAATAAAACTTATTTTCTTTTGCCAGAATCGCTAATCGTAGATAACAAGGAACTCAGCACTGGTTTACCAATCTTTTCTTCTGGGGGTGGCTCTGGGACTGACTATGTCGCTTGCACAAGCTCTGACTGTGCTACAAAATGTACATCACTTATCTATCCAGCCAGGCATAAGATACATAATATGTTTTATTGTTTAAAGAACCATTACGCAGAGAGACTGTAGACAAGCAGTTCATTACTGCAGTGGTTCCCAACCTTGGGCCTCCAGATGTTCTTGGACTTCAACTCCCAGAAATCCTGGCCAGCAGAGGTGGTGGTGAAGGCTTCTGGGAGTTGTAGTTCAATAACATCTGGAGGCCCAACGTTGAGGATCACTGCATTACTGGATCCCTTGGTGTATTAAGTAATAACTAGAGATGGGGACGAAGTGCCAAAATGGCAGTTCGTCTTGGTTCGTGAACCACAAACTGCCCCCCAGTGGCCCCACGAACCATGTAGCAATTCATTGGTTCATTTAAATTCTTTTTAGACAGCCCTGGAGCTATCTAAAATTATAATAATAAAAAAGTCCCAGACCCCACAGCCTTCCTTTGCCACTGCAGCATAGGAAGAGGGGGAAAGGGATCAACTGATCTGCAGGGGCATAAGCAGAGAGGGAATGAAAGGACAAACAGAAAAGGATTACATTCATTGCTTTGTATTTGTCAGGGTCTCTGGACTCCAAGAATACGAAGCAACAAATATCTGACGAACCAGGCATATTTGTTGAATAGACTGACTCATTTTTATATTCATCCCCATGTCTAGTAATAACACATGGTACACTACATACAATAGGGATTTTCTGCATATGGGGATTTTTCAATTATTCAAAAGAAATCAGCGTCCTCCAAATACAAATATTTCTAGAAGAAAAAGGTAAAATTGCAGCCAAAAATTCATACCATTTTTCTCCCTTGCAAATGATGACACATTCTACCAGCACTACAACTAATCTTTGAAAACGACTCAATCCAATTTTGTTCGTATCTTAAATAAAATGTTAAGATTTCCAGGAACACGATCTTAAAATCCTTCAGATGTAAGCCTTTTCTAAATGATTTAATTAGAACAGACCTTGCCTAAAAATCTTAAGCTATCACAATGCTACACCGCTTAGATTTAATTCTGCAGGCTGCTCTTCATCTCTGACAGCACCAGTTTAAAAGTAATTTAATTTAGAAAAATATGATAGGCAAAAAACCACACACACACAAATAAAAGGAAAATCTCACAACCAGCTTTAAAAAGCAGTAGACATTTTAACTAACCCAGTCAGAAAAAGAGAAAGGGTTTATATGCCTTCTTGGGGGGGGGGGTACAACCCAAATACCAAAGGAGCTTCTTTTAAGACACAAACCAAGCTGTGCTTTAAAAAGCAATAGACATTTTAACTAACCCAGTCAAATGCCTTTTAGAAAAAGAGAAAGGGTTCATATGCCTTCTTGGGGGGGGGGGTACAACCCAAATACCAAAGGAGCTTCTTTTAAGACACAAACCAAGCTAGGATCTGAGATACAGTAGGACCCCCATATTCACTGGGGATTGGTTCTAAGCCCACCTGTGGATACTGAAAATGGAGAACAGTAAACATTATATATGTAGGATGGTAAGGGGGGGCGTGACAGAAAGAAATTCACATGCATTACCAGAACTGGCAACTAGAGGGCAACAGAGACAATGTTCATCAACTATTCATAGTATGCTCTTTAGCTCCGTCTTGTGGCTGGTTCTGGTAATACACGTGAAAACAGCTTTTTTTTCCTAGATTTTTTTAAAAAATATTTTAATATTAAACTGTGGGAAAGTGAATCAGTAGGTCCTGATCCCATGGATAAGGGTGTTTTCCTGTATAGCTGTGTTCTGTATGAAAGATAAGATCCACTGCACAGGAATACTCTGGGATGGACCTGTAAAGGCAGGTGGTGGTAGCAGCACCAAAAGTGCCTTTGCCCAACTGCATTAGCTGTGACTCTTTCTGGGAAAAGTGAATCTGCTCACAGTAAACCACACTTTAATCATCTCTTGATTAAATTACTGAAAGCACTCCACAGGTGCTGTCCTTAAAGAGCATCTGGAAACTACCACTAGCGCAACATGAGACCTCCAGTCTGCTGTAAATTTCAAAACAAAAACCTCCCATAAAACCTAGATCTTATACCAGCTAGGGTCCTTTCCAGTTGATTCCTAACCCCAAGGTGCAGTTGTCCTTTAATCTACATAGGCCTGAATGGTTTGGAATCAAGGTATATGAAGGATTTCTGTGAGCTTGCTGGAAATGTATGGCCTCGTGCCACAAAAGACTGAGCTGTTAGGCACATGGGACAGCAGTGCCCCGGCTTGGAAACATCTCTCTGGTGTTTCATCTCGTTTCTGTGCCAATGTAGGAACCAAAGGCAATTCACAAATGATTTTTTTAAAAAACAGACACAACTAAGTACGAAGTTATGAAATTAAATGAATTAAACTCTAATAACAGTAAGAGTACTAGTTTAAATCCAACCCAAAGGAGGATAGATTGGTTCCACCTCTGGTAGTTTTAAGTGGATATCTCTTAGATTCCACCTAGTTCTTGACATTGCTTAAAATCTTGTTTCCTGTCTACTTTCAAATATAGTTCTGCTGTGCTTCTAATCAGCTGGTTTGATACGTACTATTTTTAAAGTTTTATACCTTCCTGGGAGGCTTAGGTCTTAAAGACAATCCATAAACTGAGTCACTCATTCCCCCATCACACCGTCAGAAAACTGTAGAGAGGAAGAGGAAGACATGTTGGCTTGCCCTATTACCTATGTCATCATGCTGCTCCCAAGGCCTTGCTAAACAGCCATGCCATCTTCCAAATTTTAGAGTTGAAAGTCTGTAGTGGGAAACCTATATTACTAAGTATTCTAAATATCCCACTGTACACATTGCTATAATGTATGGAAAGTGCCTATACAACATAGCATGGCCAGATATCTGGGACCATAGTGGATGGAGTGGATCCAATAAACACTTCTATGGATCTTCCTACTCATGTAGTGTGGAGTGCTTAAATTATTCTAGATCTGGATACGTATGGCAATGCTTTTCATTACTCTTAAGGAAACTTCATAAACTCATGGAATCTAGAAACCACCCCAATTCAAGGTGCATTAAATTGCACGTATCATCCTGATAAGAAAAAGAACCCCACAAAGTATCCCAGATTCAGAGCAGTTAAGAATAGGGATCAGTAACTGGAGGTAGCTGGAATAAATTCTGTCTTGCAATGTCAAATAGAAGGGAGTACAGAAGGAACGTCAACCACAGTCCATAAGACCTGCCAACTTGTGTCCCTTTGTACCTTCTCAAAGCCTGGGCATTGGCAACATGCTGGCCAAAGGGCCTAGGGTCTAAGGGGCAACCATTAACTCTCTAAAGGAAGACAAGGAATTAGTTATCCAAAAAACAAATAGTGGCAGGTTCTCAGCTTACCTGAAAAAAGAAGAATGCTTGACCAAACCAGTAATGCATTATAGTAACTTGAGCAGCATCACAATCCAGTGGCTTCCAGACATACTTTGTCATCATGGCTTGGATGAGCAAGCAAAAGACCAACACTGGCAAGTTATGAGGCCTGAACAGGAGGGCAGCAAGCAGCACCAGTCCGCTGTATATTTCCCATAAGCCAGTATACTTAGTTTTAGTGTCTGCCAAGAGAACCTGAGATTTGAGCAAGTCTTTGGTGCCCGAGAAAATAATGCCAAGAACAAAGACATAAACAAAACGTGCTTCGATGATGCCCCTGAAAACAAAGACAGAAATAGGATGGAATGAATTCAGTGCCTTTGTCGGATTTTGCTGAAACACATCAGTACACCTATCGTTGAAAGACTGAGATTTCCCAGTAAGATGTTCCTATCAAAGAAGGCAAGCATATTTGTAGTACTATTATTGATAACAGAGATTTTTTTTTACATTCTTTTTATTTAAGGCATTTCTTAGCTGACCTTCCAGAATGTGGCCTTCCCATGAAGTGTCGCTCAGAGTCCATCCAGAAGTAGTGCAGGGACTGAAAAAACCCATGAGATACATGGGCAACCTTTCGGAGGGCTATCAAGGGCAGTAAATTATTATTTACCACTGCTGTTTACAGGCACTTTAAATGTAGGTCACACTTGCCTTGGCAAGAGTTAACATGCCTAGCCCTGCACTGTAGGCCTACATCTTGTTGTAATCTATGGGTATCTGGCGCTGTTACATTGATAATGATAAAGCAGGTCTTGGTTTGGGTCAATGTAGATGAACAACACAAAAGCTCCACTGAGTTCCATTCAGACAAAAGGCTAATTAATCAGATGCTTTTGTGTCCATGTTTAAATCCTAATGCACACCGACTATGGCAGGATGGGAAATACTGTATGTGACCAACCAGAACTTGCTGAGTTGCAAATCTCATCAACCCTAGCCAGCACAACCAATAGCGAGGGGCAATGCGAACTCGAGCCCAACTATATCCGAATGGCCACTCCCTTTTGGTCATCCTCAATTCAAAGATCTTCTGGCTAGAGTGGGTGGCAAAATGACGATTTTCCTCATACTTGAAAATCACTGTATAATGAAAAACTAAGAATTTAAATGAACCACTGCATTCCTTAAGTAACAAGTTTCTACTAACTGCCCTCAACGGCCTTGGTTCCACTTAAGCGGTCAGTGGCAGCATGAAACATTAGGTGCTCATCTGTTCGAATGGCTAGCCGCCAGGTGCTCCTTACTTGCTCCTGCGTGAGCTGGCGCCATGTTTAAAACACAATGGCCTGCTGAGGAAATGACAGGTAGAAGGGCAATCTCACAAGCGGCTGCTCCCCTCTAGCACTCTGTCATTCATGGGGCTGGTGGTGTAACAGTTGAGAAATCAGGTACTCGTGAGCCAGTCAAGCAAAGGGCAGCTTGCCAAGAAGAAGAAAGGGCTTCCACACTTTCTCCCCAACTGAAACGGCAACAGTGCTTCCCCGAGAGTCAAGCAAACATAACTCTTCCCCTTCCACTTAACTGCTGTAATACTGATTTGTGAACTAGCTGTATGGCCACTAATGTATCAACAAAAACTACGAAGAAAAAAAATTCCACTTTCTGCTGAGGATTGAATACATCTGTTACAGGAATACACTTCAAATTTAACAGCATTCTTAACCAACACAGACAGCTCCATCTTGCCAGCAGTGATACGAATGTAATTATGCCAGTTTCCTAAATCAAGCAGAAACACGATCATGGAAAAGAAGAACAGCACACAAATGTGTAAGACTGCTATGTATTCATGTGGTGCAAAATGATTTAAAGGAAATGCAGGTTTTGTCTCACTGGGAACGCGGCTCTTGGCAAAATGCCCTCTGAGCAAAGATTTATCCTACTTGCATCATATATCAAACCGAAAGCATTTGTTCTATCCCCTTTGCCACGATGCTACAGGAATTCATCCTGATGTTATACTTCACAGACATTGTTCCCTTGCAGCTGCTTATGGCTTTAGACTCTAGATGTCAAAAGGAGTGCTCCAGTGGGCTTTTGGATTCAGCTTTGTCAGGTGGCAAGAAACTTTAAAACCTCCAATGGCGTAAATCTTTGTGAACCGCTCTTCAGATTGTAATATTGAGCCAGCAGCTATGAAGATGAGTGAGCAACAATCTGAACTGCAGCTTTGAAACTTCAGATTATCCTTCAAGCTTAGTATTCCCCAGTGTCATTTGTCACAGAGCAGTTAGCCGTTAACTAGAAAAATTGAGAGGTTTATGCAACTTTGTTCCCAAACTGATTCTTAACTATTCACAGCATTGTAATTTAACACTTGACTGGTCACCTACGACTAACAACAATCGCCTGCAGGTGATTAGGTGTGCTTCCCTTGTCATGGGATATAGAGCTCTGCATTATAAAAACACATCTTTCTCTTCTAAGCTTTTGGCATAGGCTGGAATGAAGAATGAGTAAGCCACACGTATGCAGCCTCAAAACCTAAACAGAACTCTTTCACGAGTAGAAAACTACCTTTGAATACCCAGTGCTGTAGACAGACAAAAGGGGGTGGCTGCTTTCTTAATGTCCCACTTCAACGTCTTCAGAAACATTTGACCGGCCAAAGCTGGAGACAGAATACAGGGCCTTCCCTTTACTTTAGTAGTTGTAGAGACCACCCTTTTCATTCAGCTACAGGAGTACCATTTTTCCCATGTATAAGATACCCTCATACTGTATATAAGACACCCCCCTTTTCTAACCCAAAATTTCTTTCTTTAAAAGAAAGTGGACGGGGAAGGCAGGGAGCAAAGCACTTTGATTCCTGCTTTCCCCCTCCACTTCCTTGCCAGGAAAATGGTTTTCCCCTCCACTTTCTTTGCAAAAAGCTGCTTTCCCCTTCCACTTTTTGCAAATAAAAACCACTTTCCTGCTCCACTTTCTTGTGAGGAATGTGCTTTCCGCCTCCACTTTCTTTGCAAAAAGTGGAGGGGGGAAGCAGGTTTTGGCAAAGAAAGTGGAGCGGGAAAGCACTTTCCTTGCAAGAAAGTGGAGGGGGAAAGGGAAAGCAGGGATCAAAGCGCTTTGATCCCTCCCCCCCCGTTACTTCCATCTATAAAACAACTCTCAATTTTTCCTCTAATTATTTTAGGAAAAAATGTTGTTTTGTACACAGAAAAATACGGTAAATATAAAGAACCATATACTTGTTAGCAATTTCAGGGGATTTGCACCTATACCTGGGGAGTCTAGGACACCAAACACCACAGTCTTCCAAGCCATTATTTCCAAGAGAGCTATGCTGGCGATTCTCAGGGTGATCTGCAGATGATCAACAAGAATTTCTGATTCTCTATTATTTTGCCACGGCAATAACAATGGTGCTAAAATGAGTAAAGCTTGGGGAAACCAGGAGCTGCTTTCGTGGTGGAAGAACTGTAGCTTGCTTACAATCTCAGTACTCCTAAGAAATTCGTCAGCATGAAATTCTTCAATTCCTCCAGCTGGTCGACATCAGGGTTGGGGAGAAAAAAACCCAAAAGCAACCGACAAGCCTGTATCCTGCCCACCCATTTTAAAGCACATGGTTAAACTAGTACAGCTATTTCTCGTTATATTTCTTTTAGCCCTCGCAATGTTAAGGACATTTACATAGTTGCTAATGAACTTACTTTGAAATATCTTTGCTGTCTTGTTGCCATGGAAATTCCACATTTCCAACGGCTGCCCGGTAACTGTACACTCCCAAGAGTCCAAGTGCCATCGCTATTTTAGAAACCAGAGAACATCTCCACTGAACAAGGATAAAGATCGCAACAAGGGATACAGATGCCAGAAGTGAAAGTTCAGCTTTATGTTCAGAACTGTAAAACACAACAATAATTATTTCAATACAGACCTTTCTTTTTCTTTTTTTTACAAGATTCATCTATTGCAAGTTCATTTATCTTTTTGCAATTACTGGTTGTCAAGACTAGCGAGGTGGGTTACTAGATGGCAGTATGGGCAGAAAAGTTAGGAAGTTTCAATCCAGCCACCAGCAGGAAAAGTGATCCTCATGTATCATTCTACAGGCTTCTGAAGAGTATCTTTTTAAAATATATACATATATATACATAAATCATGACAATCCATCATGTTACAAGTAATAAATTATTACTTCTGAAGAGTATCTAATGCAGAAAATTATAATATGTTGTCACAAAGTATCAAACATTTTTCATTGTCGGATGCAGCCTTCCAGATGTGCAATTCCAACTCTGATCATTCCAAGCTACCATGACTAACTATACCAGCTGTGGATAATGGCGACTGTAAGCCAAACATATCTGGAGGGCAACAGGATGGGGAAGACTGAGACACAGGAAAGCATTTAACAATCATTGACTGAACAAAAACTTTTCACAAATAACATTCATGTGAATAGTGTGATAATACCAACTCTGAAGAAAATGCACTAAACGTTTATTTGTTTGCTTTGAGAAACACTGGCTTCTCAATGAACCTCAAGTCTAACAGATCACATTAACACTAGCTGTCGAGCTTCATGTCTTCACTGAGCACACCCAACAGTATTTTCTCTTATCAGGAAGCTTGAGGTGTTTGATTTAATGGGTAGCTGTTTACCGTGAAACAAGTGGTTTCCAACCTTGGATCTCCAGATGTTCTTCAATTAAAACTCCTAGAAGTGTTCCCACTACCTTTGCTGGCCAGGATTTCTGGGAGTTGTAGTCCAAAAACATCTAGCAGCCCAACATTGGAAACTACTATCTTAAAATCAGGACAGGAGACTTCAGTTCTCACCATTGTAGTTGAAACGGGTAGTAACCACAAAGTACCTACTATGTTCTGGTATCCCATCTATGGAATTTTGTCCTATGGGAGACCCACCTGGAACCTATGCTTCTATCCTGTAGTTGCTGCACATTTCTTTATTTTCCCCTTCCCCATAACTTTTAAATTAGATACTTTTTATGTGTTTCTGTTAGATGTGTTGCTATCATCTTTAATTATTTATTTACTCGTTTAGTCATGTCCGGCTCTTCATGACCCCATGGACCAGAGCATGCCAGGCCCTCCTGTCTTCCACTGCCTCCCAGAGTTCGGTCAAATTCACATTGGTAGCTTCGATGACACTGTCCAGCCATCTCGTCCTCTGTCATCCCCTTCTCCTCCTGCCTTCACACTTTCCCAACATCAGGGGCTTTTCCAGGGAGACTTCTTTTCTCATGAGATGGCCAAAGTATTGGAGCCTCAGCTTCAGGATCTGTCCTTCCAGTGATCTCTAAGGGTTGATTTCCTTCAGAACAGACAGGTTTGATCTCCTTGCAGTCCAGGAGAGTCTCCTCCAGCACCACAATTCAAAACCATCAATTCTTCAGTGGTCAGCCTTCTTTTGAACCAATCAGTTCATATTTAGGTCTAAATGTTGCTTCCTGTCCCTTATATAGATTTCTCAGGCGATAGATAAGGTGGTCAGGCACTCGCATTTCTTTAAGAACTTGCCATAGTTTGTTGTGATCCACACAGTCAAAGGATTTTGCATAGTCAATGAAGCAGCAGTAGATGTTTTTCTGGAACTCTCTGGCTTTCTCCAGAATCCAACACATGTTAGTAATTTGGTCTCTAGTTCCTCTGCCCCTTCAAAATCCAGCTTGTGCTTCTGGAAGTTCTCAGTCCACATACTGCTGAAGCCTACCTTGTAGGATTTTGAGCATAACCTTTCTAGCGTGTGAAATGAGTGCAATTGTACAGTAGTTGGAGCATTCTTTGGCACTGCCATTCTTTGGGATTGGGATGTAGACTGATCTTTTCCAATCCTCTGGCCACTGCTGAGTTTTCCAAACTTGCTGGCATATTGAATGTAGCACCTTAACAGTGTCATCTTTTAAGATTTTAAATAGTTCTACTGGAATGTCATCACCTCCACTGGCCTTGTTGTTAGCCA